ATGCAAACTTCATTTGAGGCTCCTAACTTCGGGGTTAAGTAACTATTAAATCTTTTATAGTAATGATTTACTGAAACTGATAATTTTAGACAATTCTCTTGAAGTAATGTTGATGTTGTTTTTTAGCTCGGGAAATGCCATATTTCATAGCATAAGACTACGCCTTTTGCTGCATAACGTTGGTTCCCATAGCAGACGTCTTCATAGAAGGATTTGGTATTATGTGAGTGGTTAACTTAGAAGTGCTGGGGAAAATGCACTTGACGATCTGGGTGTTGACCTAAATGGCCGCCGCATCGTGAGCATTTGAAAGCGTCGGTGAAGGTGTAAAGCCTTGGTGTTCTTTATGCATTTTGATGGCCACCCCAAATGGATTTGGGAGCTCTATACAGAAGAAGCCTTGTTACTTACTGCAAACTGTTACATGCACTACCTATTCGGTAGTGTCCGAATTGGGCCATTTTGCACCATTTTTGATGTAACACTTGTGCTAGTGTTATTTTCTACTCCTGCAAAATCAGGGATTTTGTTTTAAGTCAAGTGATTTGGATAGGTTGTCTTTGAAGGCGAAATCACAGTTTGTATGAAGAACGTTTTTCGCTAGTCGAAAATCTCGAATTCAACTACCAGATGCTGAGAATATGGAAATTGAACTGCTTCCTTCCTCAATGCGCTTTCAAAGCTAAAAACCTTGTTATGAAATCAGCACTGCACAAGACATAAAAGGGGGTGAAAAGTTGACTGCCGTTGTGTAAAGAACTTCGAGTTAATTATTCACACATCTTTCCTCGTTGTAGAAATTCTCCTCATGGAAGGCCTCACCACGCCAGACGCCAATGAGGTGGGCAAGCTGAGGCCGTTTGAACGCGCACTCTTCAGTCTGGTGCCAGAACCACCGGCTCCAGGTGTGCCACCCTCGGAGGAGATGGCACAGCGTCTGCTGAAGTACGCTGTGCACTGGAACACTCGAGCGCGCACATGTCTAGTGGCTCAACGTGTCTTCAATTGGATCGTTTCCAATTGGGCTCCCGAAAGACTGCTAAAGTGGCCAGGCATTGGTCATGATGTCGCTGCTTTCATCCCATACACTGGTGAGCTACTCATCCTTTTTCCTTTTTTCATGCATTGTTTTGAAGGCAAGGGTATTTAAGGAGTTCTGAGGTTATTCATCGCGTCAAAAGTTGGTGAGCTGCCTTTACTCTTCTCCCTTTGTTTGGGCATTTCGAGGCGACCTTGAACCTTGACCGCTTAGTCGAATTGAAAATTTGGTCTTTTGGCGGC